TACATTGAGATTTGATGAAAGCTTTTAATTTAGAGACTAATACTTCTGACTTTGTATTAAAAGTTATATTATTATAGATGGAAAATAATAGAAAGCCATATCTAGTAGTATTCTATTCTAGAAAGTTTTCAATTACATAGATTAATTATAAGATTTATAATAAATTTTTATTTTATGATTATAGATTCATCAACTAAAGATTTATTAGTTTGTAATATCAAGTAGTATTCTAATAATGATAAATTTAAGTTTGTAGAAGATCTTTTATATTTTGATGATTGTTTATTTATTCCAAAAGGACCAATGTAACTTCTTATTGTTCAATCTCATCATAATTTTCCAAATACATAATGTTTTAGATTTAACAAAATATTAGAGCTTATCTCTTAAGATTTCTAGTGGCCTCAAATGTAGAAGCCATAAAAGACTTTGTCTTCTTGTATAACATCTATTCAAGATCCAAGAATTTTTGATATTATTCTTATAGACTTCTGTAGCCATTATTAATTCAAAAGCGACCATGGTCTTCAATATCAATAGACTTCATTACTTGTATACTTCCATCAGCTAAATTTGATGCTATCTACATTGTTATGGATCAACTTAAAAAGATAGCATATTTTTTTTTATATAAAAAAATAATTTTTGGAAAAGAAATGGCAAGGCTCTTTCTTAACAATATATGTATATATATTGATATCATAGCTTATTTGATGATATCATTTTTAATTGAAGACCTCAATTTTTATCAAAGTTTTAAAATTTTCTTTTTGGCATATTAAAGATGGATATCAAACTTTCATCCACTTTCTATCTTTAAACTTATGGTCAAACAAATTAAATGAATCAAATTTTGGAATAGTATTTACAATGTACATCAAAGGATAAAAATCCAATAGTTAAAGATCTTGCAAAACAATTGTCATAGCTTCAAATAACTTTAAAGTTCTATTTAAAAGTAACTTAAGATTCTTTCAAAGCATCTTAAGAAAAATTTAGAATAGAATTCCCTATTTTTTGAGTTGGAAATAAAGTATGGTTTTTTGACAAAATATGAAGACCAATTGGCCTTGCAATAATTTGGACCACCAAAGACTAGAGCCATTTTGTATTTAAATCAATGCTATCATCAAAAACCTAAATCTATTTTAGGATAATTTTTTTATGAATTTTCTATTGAGATATTGTATATATATATATATATATATATATATATAGATAAGATTTTTGTTACAAGAATCTTAGGATTTAGTGTATCTAATTTACAATCCAATATGTCAAATTAAAGAGTGTTTATGGAGTCTTTAGATCATGAATCTCAAGTTGAGCTAGAGTTGGAGCTATTCTTATCACAATTACTAAATCAATTGTTCCAACTGTCACAACCTTCACAAGATCATCCTTGAAATAAAGTTAGATCTTTTCAAAGAAATAAAATGTCCATGCTATAGTTAACTCAAGCAAAAAAACATCCAAAATAATTCTCGAGCTTTGATCATTTTATTGTAGATTGATACAATAGAACTTAATGAAGCTGAAGTTACTTTTCATGGATGTTTTGAAGGCCTTAATGCTAGCCAAGTCTAAAGAATATGTCTTCTATGATCATATAAAGGTGGCCATTATTGCTATCAAAGTCTACTAGTCTATCTTTTGAATAGAGATAAAAAAAAATAGAAAAATAGAAAAACATATATTATAATTACTATCAATTTTTTTTATTTTATTTTTTTGAATTTTTACAGATTTGAAATTAATAATTGCTATAGAACTTAGAGTTAAAACGGGAGGCAATGTTATGGATATCTAACAAGAAGATCTTAGAAATATTCTTAAAATATTTTATTGAGTTTTAGAAGATTTTAGAAGATTTTAGAAGATCCTTAAAATATTTTAGTAAGTGATTCTAGAAGATGATTCTAAAAAGATTTCTAAAATGTTCTAGAAGATTCTAAAAGGTTTTCAAAATATTATAGTAGATTCTAAAAAGTTCTAAGATGATTAAGAAAGTTATCCAAGAAGGATCCTGATGTTGCTTTGTTTCCAAACAACATGAATTTTTTTCAAGCAACTTCCTAATACCTAGTATATATTAAAGTCAAGACTAAGGAGATCTTTAGTCTTGAAAACATGTCTTTTGGAGTTCTAGCTCACCTCTCTTGATATTAATCTTATATTCATTTGGTTTAATCAAATTCATACTAGATTTCTTGTTAAAATTCTTTTATTCAACATCTTATTTGGTCTATTGTATAGTGTATCTATGATAAAATCAACACTTAGATGGCTGCCAAATTGTTGTCAATGCTTGTCAATGTAATTATAATAGTAATACCTTTATTTATTTTATATTATTAAAAAAATTATACAAAGATGGACAAAAAAACTTTAGAGCATATCTAAGGATTCTAATAATATCACAATTTCTTAACATTGACAAAAGATCTTAAAACAAGTTTTTAATATAGGAGGTAGGTCCTTGTGGTGCCATACAAGAACCTTCAATTGAATCGGTACATATAGTTCTTTAATACTAGATCTTATTACAAACTTATTTTTTTAAAGCATTGAATTGCATAATAAATTTGATGCCAATGCACTGCAATCAAATATGTTATTTTCCAACAAAGTCATAGAGGAAGCGACAAATGTCATTAAAATAAGCTCTATTTTGCTATCATGATCCATGTTGTTTTAGTTCAATTGTCTAAATCAAAATTAAAGGAATAAAATTCATATTGATCTATCACAATATTATAAAATGTAGTACTTTTTATTGCACACTAAAAAGTAATATGTAAATATAACAATTGAGAGTCAATGTATAATATTAATTGTAATTTTTATTTGGAGTTATTGGTTGTTTTCTTTCTACTTTTTGTTAAATTAAAAATGATAAGTAAAGGAGCTTCTAGATTTGTAGTGCTTAAACTCATTAAACCAAAATATCCATTTATAATTGATATAAAATATATAAATTGATATATCAATTTATAATTTATAATTGACATTTGATTCTTTCTATATATTAGCTTATTTAAATCTTTAAAATATTTTATTCAAAAAAATACTTCTACCTCCATTTCATTAAATTATATTGATGTGACATATAGATAATGAATAATATTCTATAATTAAGTACAATAATAAGTATTTAAGTACTAAAGAATGTTCTAAGGTTTTATTTCTTGATAATTGAATATTAATCTTAAGAATGATTGATAAAAAAATTAGCTGGATGTGTTTGTAGAATCCTAATAGTTTAGCTAAGATAATTCAATACAAATTATTTATTTAACTTCTATATATCTAAAAAAAGATCATAATAAGATTTTAGGAGGTATCCTAGGTAATCAATCAATTCTTATTACATACATTTGTATTTATACTATGAAACTCAAAACAACACAATTAATATTTTAATAAAACTACTACAAATTATAATTTAGAAACCAAAGCACTAAGCTCATGCTACTTAATATTTTTCTTAAGACTCTTCTTTCTAAGTATTACAACCAATACCTTTAGTCTTTTAAGCATGTATTAAATATTTTTTTCTTTGATTCTCCTAAAAATCTATGGATCCTCCTTTCTTCTTATTTTTTATTTATTTTTTTTTTTGTTTTTGCTAAATCTTAGAAAAGCCTTTGCACTAGCAATAAATTTAAGCATAAAATTATTAAAGACTTATCAAGACTACTTAGAGAACTAGTTGGTTCTTCTACTTGGTTTAACCTTGCCTAATATTCAATATCTAAATCTAATTATAATTTATCTAAGTGACCAAGTAACATAGATGGACATAGGCTTGAATCTCCAAACAACCTCGAAATCAAAACATATGTTTAGAATAGATCAAGCTTGAATTATATGCCTCATTAAAAAAACTCCTACTTGTGAATCATATAGAATGCATTTAGGTCACTTACTTGCATCTATTAAATGCAAGTACATAGCAAGAATGGTTGTCTAGCCACTATCCAAAATCTGCAACTATTTCTTTGTGACATATCTTGTTTATTAAATATAATTGACAAAATTAGAGGTTTGACTATTGTATTCTTCAAATATTGAAAAGTAAGCTTGAATATTAATTAACACACGACATCCTTAAACAAAATTTTATCTAAGCATTAAACAAACTTAATCATAAGCAGTAACAATGCCTTGAAACCAACACAATCGTTGCACAATATTTAAATTATTGGACTGTTGAAAAAATAGTCCTTGTAACTGACACACTATTTCTCCATACTTTAAATCCTTAATAGGCTTGCTTACAACAGCATCTTACATTTATTTTGATACTTATATTTATATTTATCCGATTCAACAGGAGAATTTATACCTAGCAAAATTATCAATATGTTTTAATTCAATACTGTCTTAACATTAAATGTTTTATCAAATAATTATTACTGGTTGATTTTCTTTAAGATAGAAACATTTATATAACGAAGTTAATGCGGATGATCAATGTGGATGATCAATTCAAGATAGATGACAAGTATGTAAATGAGTTCTACAATTGGTCTTCATTTCCTCAAATGAATGGACAGTCGGCCTTCATCCACACCAAGAAGGAGGAACTAAATATCTATACAAAGAAATATGCTATTCACGCCCAAGTTAGCCAAATTAGATGTGCTCAACATGTGGTTTCGCTACCATTTCTCTCGGTCATTTCGATTACAGCAATTTCGTTGTGTATACTCATTGCGCTTGTAGTTTCCAGCCAGAGATACCTATTCGTGACCGATACCATGAACAAGATGTTAAATTATTGTGAATTGTTTTTACATGCCTGACTTGTTATTATTGAGCACACAGAATCTTATTTTTGTAGACATTGGAACGGTCAGCAACAATGTATGAATTTCATACGTCTTAGATAATGTGCAGAAAGCTCATAACTCATCAGAGACAACTGATTTAATTCGTTTGTAAAGAACTGCTCAATCCCCAATTGTTCTCACTTTGAGAACATAGTTGTTGAAATGTTTTTAGTCAAGAAAATTCTCATACAGTGTATGAATCTTTTGATGTCTACCCAAAAGAGCGGAAATGGGCATTTTACATAGAGTACAATCGAAACAAAGTCCGGGACATGAACCTGAAATACCTCTACATAACCCTTAAATACCTCTACGTAACGGAAGGGTAACAGTGAAAGGAAAAATTTACAAAAAAAAAAAAAAAAAAAAAAAAAAAACACACACACACACACAAAACAACAACAACAACAACAACACCAACTTGCTAAAAACAGAAAACCGTCAAGCATCCCATCCAGCGTGCACAGACACGGGTCACTGATGTTGCACAAGTGCCTAGCCTGTTCAAGGCTTCACGACATTCGTGTACTCTGGGTCACGTCTGCTTGCATAGTGCTCCCTCTTGTTGCGATGGTTTGCGAAGATCCAATCGAACGATAGCAAGGTCAAAGCGACGGACAATAGCAAGAGAGGAATCCAAAGGTTCCGAATAGATTCGATCGTGGGGGGGCACTGCTGCGTGACAATGGTGTCAAACGTGTTGTACACGACGGAACAGTTCGTTAATGCAGTTATCGTTGGGATGATGATCTCTAAACTCCGGCCAGCTGCAAGAAACACTCCCACACTGTGAGATTGTATGCACTTCAAGATATCAAAAGCTTCTGAAAAAAATTAGTCTTAGACAGAGTGGAGACAAGTTCAAATGGGGTACCCGCGGAGAAGTCCCTGATAGCTGCATCATCCGATGGAGTCACGAAACGACGTTGAGATAGACAAGTGGTAGTGACTGGCTCCACGTTACAGACATAAGGTGCCAAAACCTGAAAGAATGTGGAGAGACACTTGATCAATAGGGGATGATCGACCTGTCGCGTGCTACACAAACGCAGTGAAAACCTTGCATGAAAACAATGAGGGTGGATCCAATACTCACTTCTGGTAATCCAGCAAGCGTCACTGTGCCAGATGGACAACTGGTTGGGTATACAAGATTAGGAGCTGGACCGATTGGATCACACAGAGCAGGTAAGGAAACGGATGGTTGTACACCGGCACCCGCTTGTCGGAGTCCATTGAGATTACCATTTGCCTGCCAGATAGGAGTGAAGCAGAAATTAGTTGCTTGTGCAAGGTTCTGCAACGATGTCAAGAACCAGCACATATCATAAAGCACACCGATTATTTGAGCAGGACATGCACAGAGAGCTAAAGGAGGTAGATGGAATGTACGCACCCGGACAACAATGTTCTTGACACCCTGCTTGACAACATTGGATGCTCTAGCAGAAGTTGCCTCGTCCACACAGGGAAGCAATTCAGCTAGTGTGGTGTTTGCAGGTGCTTCAAGATACTCGGCAAAAGCTTGGCATGTATCCGAAGTTACACTGCAAAGCCACCATTAGCTACAATACAGAATTTACTTACTTGATTTCTAAAACCCCGCATTAATTTAGACAGCGAAATCGAGGAGACTAGTAGTAAAAGTCAAAAGAATTAGATGAAGATGGCTGGGATACTACATAACATACCTGTTGGCAGCGTAGAAAACTCCGAATAAAATCCACGTCAATACAGCAATCAGCCAGCCGATCAGAATGATCCTGTGAAGCACAGCATACGGTGGTTTCATAACAGCTGGAAGAAACCACTTCATGACGAAAATGGGCCTGCCCATCTCCAGAAACACTTGATACTACAAGGGTAATGACTTAACTCATCATAACCTAAAAATAAAACATGATGTGAATTATTACTGGAAAATGAAAGTACTTACAGGAAAAAGATGGTGCTCCACCCCAATAATGCCGACACTGCAAGAGAAAACAAGTCTCATGTCAGATATGCATCGGGTGACAGACGTCGAGCAATCAAAATCTAAAACTAAACCGGCTTTAATAAACGAGAATCTTGCATTCAGTAAGGGAACTTTATCAAAATTCTAAAATAAAAATATATTAGACAATACACACACACACATATATATATATATATATATATACACACAAATACATATATCGAGAGAGAGAGAGAGAGGGAGAGGGATTTTTAATGCACGGCTTAAGGGCGAGAATAGTCTTACAAAGTCCTGCAACGACGACGAAAAGAGCCACAGACAGGAGTACGATCAATGCTAACTGTCTGAATTGAGGAAAACGGTGCTCGGGGTCAGTTTGCAGGTCGTCAATTGCAGGATTTTACACTATTTCGTGGTTTATCAAACAGGATGAAACGTTGGGAACCAGCGGTAGGAAAACAGAACCAGCAAATACGAAGGGGCACCCAAAAGTTTTGCGACGGGAAGACTCATACATTGCGTTGATGATCTTGTTGAGATTGCGGATGTTGTCACCCACTATGCGGTCAATGTTGTTAGCTTGAGAATTCAATTGATTCACTGTATTACCAAGTATCCCATCATTCAACCCCGGAATGTTGTACTTGCTGGTAATGGTATCTACCTCCGACAACGTGCCCGTCACATTGCGGACAGCACCTATAGCGTCGTTTGCGGAACCAGCTATGGTGTCCCTCACCTTGAAGGCACGGGTATGGAATTGCCTGTTGCGGATGTACATCGTAACAATGACACCAATGGCGAAGAGTGACAGGAGCAACGCCAGAATGCGAGGAATCCAGTAATACGCAGCTGAACGGCGCTCAGCAACCCTAGCATGATTGCAGCAGCAGAGCTTACAACAAGCGCCAAGTGTGACGAGCACTCCCAGCAGAAGCCATGCAACACCAATAGCAAAGCCGTATATTCCAGTGAACCCTGCTGACTGCAACAAGAGATCACGTTCGTCGTGGACATGAATAATAATGAGATGTCGAACAGTACACAATGTTTGTACAACTGTACCGGCAACTGCTGATGCACCTGAAAAAACCCACATTAACGACCTCTAGAACTGATCCTCAGCAAGAACTGATTCGAGATATCGTAGACCTGTGCTACTTAGACACTCTGCATCTGCATCTGTGAGGTGGCAAAGATTCAGAGAACGTTAGTGCTATACCGCCCAGTAATGCACGTTGGTTACGTCATATCCACCTCGGTATTTTTGGAAACTATCCAGTGGGTCCCTGCGGTCTCCTTTCACTGCCAATAGTCGAGATGCATTTGATCGAGCTTGCAATAGCACACGGCCTGCAAGAGACAACCATGAAACGCTTGAGGACAATCCTAGGGCCCATTCCAAGCAAGAACCTGGAAATCATCCACGATGACAAATCAAGCCATTTGAGTGACAAAGCTAACAGTTGAATCAAATCGACCCTTCAGCATTCTCAAATCGTCGATCGTGTCTACGCCTTAGAAAGGACTCATTACATGGCCATCACTATTTCACGGAATGTCTCAAAGGAGTAGGAGAATGCCAGTCCTCTTTCTCAACAATTTATTACAAGTTGGTCACTTCACCACGGGGAGCTGAAGCGCAAGTTGGAATTCAAAATCCATCCCACTGCCCCAAATGTGAAGGTTCAATATAACTGTTCGGTCTATTCGTGGCTCCCAGCAGGTCGCAAATGCCAAGTTGCAACAGGCACATTCCTGGACTTGAGCCTGGTCAGGAACTCGTTGCGAAGTAGCTGGCACGGTGTTTGAATCCTTCCGATTACAAAACGTGCCGTCTTGAAGAATTTCTCAGTGCGGGGGTTCAAAAATTGTTTCAGATTACTGTCAACTGTAAAACTTAGATGCGAAAATCAACTGCATTCATCTTTTCAAATTCTTTTTCGGTGACGCAATCGAGAGCATTGACTCTCTGCTAAAACAACAAACATAAGGATATCTAAGGCGTACCATGGATGTGACCACCGTTAAGGTTCACGAACTCCGAGCTCCACTCGAACGGCGAAAGAGACTCGACTACCAAGGTGTTTTTCGAAATAGCTCCTTGAGAGGAAACTTGAATAAAACACAGTAGTATAATAATCGCCAGCCATTTCACTGAACCCATTCCACGAATCCCCGACATGCACCTGATCCTCAGCTTGAAATTGAACTTCTATCGTCGCAATCTCCTTCTCCTCTGAACTAGGTCAACGCTTGAACTCTCCCGCACTACCGGCAATTACAAAAATAAAAACTGTAAGTCGCTGGAGGTCCTCCAACACCAAAATCAGGCAGTCTGTCCGATGTAATTAGAGGGCAACGCGGCAATCCGTGCAAGCCGCCGACCAATCCTCTCACCAATCGGTGTTTAATTTTTTTGTTTTGACGTCCGACGGCCACCCTGGAAGATCCTCAAAAAGATAAGTTGGTCAGATCCAACAACAGCGAACGCAGACAGAGAGCGTGCGTTGGATCTTCAAATCCAGCATGGGTAACAGAGACTGTAGCTGTTGGTTCCAGCAGGAGTGCGAGATGAATTGGAAGGGGGGAGGGGGCGGCGTCGGCGGCGGCGATGAATGAGGGCGGTGCAGTGACGCTACAGGAAACGGGGCAGATTGTTCGGGCTGGTGGTTCTTAATGCAGGCGGGCCGAAATAGGGGTAGCGATGGCAACACCCTCGCTCTCTCTCGCGTAGAGACAACATCGACATCATCATCAGCTGAACCACACTGCCTGCGCTCCGACGATGGAGCCGGCGTGGCACTTCACCTGGCGCCTGACTGACTGACATCGTCGTGGTCACGATCCTCCTCCTCGTCGGCGTTCCTTACTGAATATTTACACACTCTCCCCCCCCCTCCCCCTCCCATTCCTTCATTCATTCATTCTGCGTAATCTTTCAGTTTTTGTGCTCTCCTTATACATGTTGTTGCGGAGTGTTATTTGTTCTTAATAAAAAAAATTGAAAACTATGCCTTCGACTTCTCACAAGTGCTCGTCATTACACAATTTTTCTGCACTCATTTTGTGCATTTGACTAAATGTGAAGAATTCTCTGCGTGATAAATAAGTAGACAAACACTCACTCTCATACACGCACACACACGCACTTAAAAATAGTTGGCAAGTAATGCTAATGATATGTGACACGTGAAAAGTGATGTTTGAGGTTACCAATTTAAGGATTTGCAAGTTGGCTAGATGCAATTGATAGATAAACCACTCGCACTGCAAACATGCTGCATCCTTTCACACTTGAATTCTGTCAAAAGACCAAAATTCATGACAACTCGTTCGATTCCTTTTTACTTACACCAATAAGAAGATGTTAGAGAGAGTAGACAACTGGGATGAAGTGCATTTTGTTTGCTGTTTTTCCCCAACTCATTAAATACTTCGTGCAAAGATGAAAGAAGGCTGTTTTAACGTTTATCCAATGGGATGCCCAGGAGATTGGAATATATCAACCCAAGTGAAATTTATAAGGGAGCATGAGACCAGGGTCTTATTGCCACCTTGGCAGTGGCCCTGGTCTTTGGCTTAAGTGCTTCTGTTCATGTGCTGTGCTAAGCAGCTTATCCGTTGCAATGGTCCATTGAGGGTGGGCTGTCCCCAATTTCAGATCCACTTTAAGCTCCACAGCAAAAAAGTTTCTCACCCATTTGTTTCCCTGCGAAAGCCGAGTTAGCAACTTAGCACTCCAAATTGGCTCACACCCAATTTGTCCATATTCGTTGATGTTTATCCAAACTTTACTTTTGCAAGTCAGATGTTGGAAATTTCAGTCAATGGTGGAATAATGGGGAAGGCAGATATTGGAATGTTCCAAATGTTTCACAAGTATCGCATCTAAGCTATCACTTCAGACCCGAGATACAAAGTTGTATTTTCCGGTATGATAGAGATAAGAGTGCGTTATGTTAAACATATAAGAACAATTTTATTGTTTAGACGCTCAGGTGTGTCGGCACTGAAGGTACAGAGTCAACACTAATAAAGTCAGAGTTTGATAAGGTTAACAGTGGATAAATGTATATCTATTTTTAGTACTTTCTAAACTTTCATATTTTCATGCCTTAAAGAAGTTCTTTTGGATTCAGGTGACATTGCAGAAGGCTTGCTGATTCATGTTGATAAATGCAGAAGGCTTGCTTTCTCTACATGTTGTCAGATCGTTGTTACATGAAAATGAATTACGATCATCTTATGGTGAACGCTTTCTAAATATGACATTTTTGAAAAAAAAACTAGTAAGCCAGAAATATTATAACTTTATTGGACTAGTTTTTAAAGATATATGCATTTTCAAAATTAAACACACAAAATCTAAAAAAATCTGAATATCTTGTATTGAATAGTAAAAGTCTTTGTAAAATTCTACTGTTAAATTATATGCATGTCTTTAAATAGGTCCTAAAATGTTACTTTGGCACTCATAAAATTCGTTTCACAGTAAACTGAAACAAAGTATTATTCGCATGAGTTTGGAGGTCACCAATAGATGGAAATTATGAATTAGCGGAATGTATAGTTTTTGTGTAGTGCAAAATCAAGGAGAACTGGTCTCGATGGGTGTTTTCAACCAGCCTCAGCTTCCCTCTTTAGCTGCGCTTTTGCGTGGACCTCTTCTCTAGTGGGTCAGGCGGGTACTCACTGTTACACACATTTGGAAATATTCGCTCTTGTTGGGCTTTGCGTGCATATTCTTGAGCATTTCGAGTCGTTGAATGCAATCAGCAATGGTGGTGATCAGCCACAACACGGGTAATTTCATTGGAGCAGGCATTCGCATTGACAGTTCATTGCGAATGGTTGGGTATTGCGAATTGAGACGGTTCTGCCCTTAACCCTTGAGGGTGCAGGGTAGAGTTCACGTGATTTGAAAAGAATGGGAGAACCCTTAGTATTGTAAAGTGGGTTCACAGTTATTCAAAGTAGAAGCATTAAAGTTCACAAGGTGCTTGTACAGGAAAGTACATGTTAAAACTACATTGTCAAGGATTTCGACCAATGCAAACCGACGTCAGAGTAAAAATGAAAGGTAAGGCTGCTGAACAACAAAGCAGAAAGGCTAGAAAGTTAGATTGTGTAATCTGATGTGCTAGTTATCCATGGATATATAAACTACAGTTGTGAGGGCCGGCATAAATACCGACCGCTTTTTGGAGGACTGAGAAATGTATCAATGAGCCGAGAATAGAATGAGGATGTAAACCCAAGTCTCTCGACAATCAACTTTAGGAGACTAGCATTTATGTCATCCTTAAAAAACAGAACTCCTTGCTTGTCACACTTTAGATCTCTTCAATAACATGATAAGCGTGCAACAGAAAGATGTGTTACTAATCAGTGTGTTGTTCGAGACCACACATCATTTTGTCAAAGTTACCAGATTTCGATGCCATGGTCTGTCAAATTGTACAAAATTTTCGTGTGTACACCTAACGCTTTTGCTGCATGCTGGATAGGTCTTTGAGGAAGCCATTCACTGGCTCTCAAAAACTTACTCCAGAATCTAGAGTAATGTTCTAGAAACTGATCTGATTGTAGGTGGATGCTACTTCATTGCAAATAGTCAGCATATTTCACCACTTAGCCCTAAAACCTAATCCATGCAGAGGAAAGAGTGCCTCCAGCAACTGTGAATGTTCAAAGAATCTACAATCCCTCTTTACAAACATTAAGAAAAATAAGAGAAGAAAAAGAAAATTATACAAAAAAAGTAGGGTTTGATATCGGAGCGGATTTATAATTTATTCGTTGTTTGGTACGTGATTCAGCAGCTAACAACCTGTGGCTCAGTAGACTCGTGCTCGTACTCGTACCGGAAGAAGCATAGACATTGACAGGATTTGTCGAACTAGCCATTGCCGGATTGGTTAGGCCACTATCTTTGCTGGTTCTGCACGATCCATGAATTCTGAATTTAGCTCCTTCGCTTGAATTTCATTCGATTGTGAGCTTCTCTTTATTTTCGGTTGCATAGGTGCTTGCTGCACAGTCCTTGTCCACCTCACCGCTTTTCACATTGTTGTCGTAGAGTAGTGATTTACAGTATTGGCATAACTATAAACACATGATTAACTAGTGTTGTCATGAATCGCTGACCAGAAGTCAATCGTGCAATACTGTTGTGTGCAAAAGTAACTGGGACAAGGGGAGGTTAAGCAATCTGTCTGTTTTCATTTTTTTTTTTTTTTTTTTTTTTTTTTTTTTTCCCTCCCTCTCTTATATCGCATTTAAATTCTTGCAATCTTCTGTAAGCTTTCTCAACGTTTCTTAATGACTCCTTTCTTTGTATATGCTATGTATCAATGAAAGATTGTAACAATGTTTGGACGGGGTTTTTTTAATGTTTTTATTGTCTTTTTGTTGTGAATATTTTATTGACGTTGCAATGAGTTTTCAAGACATTGTTTCAAGGTGCCTCATGTTAGAGAAATATCACAATCCCTCCAATATTGAGAGTGTAATGTTATCACAATTAATATGAAATTTATTTCATTTGAACAATTTTTCTTTTGAATTTGCAACACCAACATTTAGGATTGTATATTAAAAATAAGTGACAATATTTTTCTTAGTAATGAAAGCATTTATTTGTCAAATAATTGAGCCTACTTTCCAAATAGAATGGATCATGTACAATTTGATGGTCTGTTTGACATTGTGAATTAAATTTACCTATTTCTATTATAAGAGAGTTATTTTTGTAGTAAGACTCTATCTTCTATTTTATTTTTATTTTTATCTTTTTTAATTTCTTTTAGATATTTGGTTTGAAGAAAGATTATTAAATATAGATAGTAAAAGCAATATAAGTAATGATGCATAAACTATACTAAATAAGAAAATACTTTATGATGAAGAAATGAAAGAGAGTATATAAAACATATAATACTAAAGCATTGTATTTAGCATATAGTATTCAACTTTTTTTATATGTATAGAAATATATTATAAACATTTATAAAGATTCAAAAAAATAAAAAATAAAATCTAATTATGTAAAATATGGATCTTAATTACTGAAGTATTTATTTTTATTATTTATGTATAGAGTTGGAACAAATTTAAAATAATTCAGTTATGAACTTTAATCATATTTAAGTTTTATTAAACCTTAAGTAAAACAATGTAAACTTCAATACAATCTACTTACAACTCTTTGTTAACATTTTAAAAATATTAAAATCATTTGTTCATTTAAAAGTGGTTTAACAAATTATGATTTTGCATAAGCCAAATTACAATCTATAAATTCCAAAAAGAAAAAGAAAAAGAAAAAGAAAAAACTGAAACAATATCTTAAAAGCTTTCATTTCAAAATTGCTGATCAAGAACAATTAAGAGATACTTTATGTCACAAACATTATTGAAGACAAACTGAAGTCTTGCTTCACCAGATGGCCATGCTCCAGTTCAATTCTGTCACCACTCTGCATTCGCGACACTAGGTCCATTGGTCCAGCTCCAAAACTGAACAGAGCCATATTTCCAAGCAAGCAAGCAAAGCTGTAACAGAGAGATACCAATCCCAACAGAAACCGGTATCAAAAAA